GCAAGCGCGGGTGCCATTTTGGAACACAAAATGGTGTCCCGCATCATGCACGCATGCGCACAACGGCGGGAGTAGTGCGTATGTGTGTGCGAGCACACCTCCGCCGCCATTTTTTTTCCCCTTCAGCCCATCGACGATTGGGGGACAGCGGAACCAGCACCACCCCCAAAAGGTATGCCAACCCCTGCCTTAGGGTCTCCATAAATCAGAAACAACTTGAAGACATACAGCACCAAGACCACCAACAGCAAATAATAAAGAGACTGAAAGATTTGAAAGAGAGTTTTGATTGTGAGATACAACATACAAATAAAGAATGCATGCAAAAACATGCAAGATTGCACAATCTTTATGCTCCCTACCTAAGCACTTGGAACCAGACAGCTTCCCTGGGGGAAAAAAGCAGTCAGAATCATGACAGCAAGAGGGAGCTAAAGTGACAGTTTCAAAGACAAACATATAATGAGGAAGAACAATGGGGAGATGGTAAAGCAGGGGTAGGCAACCTTTTGGAGACCTGAGCTGGTCCCCCGAAGTCCAGGTCTCTGCTGGGCTGAGGGGGGGGATGTCGGCGCGAGTGCTCACGCGCACGCGCGCACCCTCCGCCGCCGCGCGTGACCCCTCCGCGCGCCACCACTGCCACTGCCGCTACCACCGCAGTACGCGCAGCCACCGCCGCCGTGGCCCATGTCGCGGCCGCCATTTTGATTTTCAAAATGGCAGCCACGATGCGTTTGCACTTGCGCAGGAATACTGTGCATGCGCAAATGAGTCGCAGCTGCCATTTTTATTTCCAAAATGGCAGCCGCGACTCGTTTGCACATGCGCAGTACTCCTGCACATGCGCAAATGCATAGCAGCTACCATTTTGAAAATCAAAATGGCGGCCACGGCGCGCGCAGCCACACGGATGGCAAAATGTGTGGCCGTGGCAGCGGCTGTGGCGACGGGTCTGCCTGGGCCGGTAAGTCCGGCGACCTGGCCCGGAACCGGCCCGGGGGCCGTAGGTTGCCGGCCCCTGTGTTAAAGGAACAATCAAGGAACACTGCTCAGTAGGTAATCCTGTTGCTACAGAGGCAAAAGAAAGGAGTAGTTCACAAAGCACACTTCTTGTAGCAGTATGTGTGCATCTGTGTATGTGCCTTCAAGTCCCTGTTGACTCATAGTGACCTCACGAATTTCATAGGGCTTTCTTTCTTAGGCAAGAAATACTCAGGAGGTGGTTTTGCCCAGGGGTAGGCAACCTTTCCCCTTTAAGGGCCAAGGGACATCAGTTCCCAGAATCCCAGGAGCTATTGGCCAACATGAGACTATTGGCCAACATGGCTGAGGCTTCTGGGAGCTGAAGTCCCTCGGCCCTTAAAGGGGAAAGGTTGCCTACCCCTGGTTTTGCCAGTTCATTCCTCTGAAAAAGACTACATCATCTGGTATTCTTTGGCAGTCTCCCGTCCAAGCACTAACCAGAGTTGACTCTGCTTAGCAGCTTTCAAGATCAGATAGGATCTGGTCCCTTTAGGGTATTTAGGCCCCTGTAGCATAATGACAAACTTTAATTACATCAGCTGGTTTATTGGGATTTGTGGCAAATAGTCAAGAAGTTAGAATAGGAGCATAAATGGCAGAAATCAAATTGAATAGACAGAACACAATGTATGCTCTAGGACAGATATCACAAAGTATCCTTGGTTGTATTTAGACTACATTCATTAAATAGCCTTTTAGAGGTAGATAATAAGCTGAATCATCATCATCATCATCATTGTCGTCATCGTCAAATTTAGCTATAGTGGCAAGTTCCAAAGTAACTTTGCAAGGCAATGCCCTGCCCCAAAGGCAAAGAAATTAAAGGAAGGATATATGTAATCAAGGGATTAGAAGGACCCCTGTTAGGAATCAGAGCATGTGAGGATTTGGGATTAAGTTAAATCTGCATTCAATCCACATAGGGACCACAGAACCTTTTTTTAGGTTGGTAGGAGTTTCAACATTGACAGGCAGGTTTTGCCTACTTGCACGTATTTGCAGGGGGAGGATAAATTATTTCCCCATCTGTTATCATTCAAACACCTTTAAATATGAAGACTCACATAACTGTGAGAGTGCCCTCCCTGTGTTCAAAAGATTTTACTCTCAAGTAAATGTGTTTAGGATAGATTACAGGCAGCTTTTATTTCAGGGAGGGATCAACAACAAACATTGTCTGCTGCTTATTTTTAATACACAAGTCGGATTGGTAGTGCCTGAGGAGACTCACCTACCAGTGGTTTAATTTGCCAGATAATTTCTGGGGCTGCCTAGATTTAGGGGAACTCAACTATCTGCCTTCCTGTTCTGGGATCTCTAAACCCACAGAATATCCAAGTTTTTTTCCAGTATCTGAACTGGATGGGAATTCCCTTGCAATTACAGTGGTACCTCTACTTACGAAATTAATTCGTTCCAGCAGC